TAAAGTTTTACCCTCACTTTATCAACTTTTGCAGCTCACAAATTACTTTAAAACTGTTTTAACAATTATACACTTTCGTTATTTTACTAATTGCAATTTGACAGCAAAACTATTCGAATTTAACTGTAAGCTGCACAAATGTGTGTGCATCTGTCGACCACATTTCCAATAATGGAGTTTACCAACAGTAATATAGTGATTCTCCGATTCCCACTAATGCAACGAGTACACGCTTCGCTGAGAGCTTTGTTCAATACTCATACAATTAGCGGCAATGTTAATTATTTAGCTGGTGTTTATCATTTCGGTTATATATCGCAGATAGATTCCAGTGAAAAGTGGAGATTTGTGTATAGCTTGTAACTGCAGAGTTTAGTTTAATAAAAACTATAGCATTATGTTGCTTTTTAAAAGTATTTTTGATGTAATGGTAGTTTTCGCAACGATTTCGTAAAGGTAGTGTTAACCACACGAGTTGAAAATAGAAAACGATGGATGTTTCCATGTAAGATGGGCATAACACCTTTATAGGTATACGCTTAACGACATACAAGTATTATTATTGTTCTGATTTTGATCTTGTTTATTATAATACATTTTCTACCACCCAATTTCACCTCTTATCCGATCTTGCCTCAGAGGCTATAAAAGGATTCTAACCGAAAATGCTAAGATCAATATTCTAAGTTCTAACCCTAACCGATTGTATAATCCAGTAAATTTGTATTTAAATTTACTCATGGCGAGAAAGTTTTGGGGTAGTTTTGATTTTTTCGATTTCTTATGTATTTTAGGGTGCTGAATCCGAATCTGAGGTTTGCCAACAAAAATTGTTGACGCAACATTGACAAAAATGAGAAAAATATGGAAAAATGATATTTTTTGTAATATTTAGCTTATAATTTAGAAACTATCAACTTTTCGTTATTAGTCTTATAAAAATTAAAGTACACAAAATTTGCTACAAAATATACCCCTAATGTGGTTATCTCCGATGAACCGTTTAGGCTCCAGAGCTATTTGAAAATTGGAATATTTTGTGTTAGTTTTTAAATTTCTCCAATTATTCTGTCAATGACATATATTCATTGTATATGCCCAGGCAAAGGTCTTATATAAATCCAAAGTGTTAAAATTGATTAATTTTGTGTTACTGAACCGTTGATTTTTATTTAGTATACAGAAAAGTTACACGAACTGTTGCCGTTTAAATTATCCTCGTTTAGAGGGTTGTAATGAGGCAGGTTCTGGCAAACGTTTCGATGCATCATTTGTGAGCATTCTAGCTTGTTCATCTGCACATATAAAAAAAAAGTTACAAGTAAAAAAAAATTACACATAATAATAAGTAATACCAAAATCAAAATTATCAAAAGTAAAATAACAGCAATCTGTTAATCATGTAATATCATATGCACCTGATGACGTGATATTAAGATATACGTAAATAATAAAATGTTATGTAGGCATATACTGTTGCTAAGCATTTACATTGTGTGTAGATTTTATAGGTTGTAGGTCCTAGGGCGTAGGGCATAGGCCTACATGAGAGTGGTAAGGGTTAATTGACTTAAGATAGTCAATACGAATTTTGGCTAGAAAACTAAAATAACCTATGGTATTAACCTATGGTAACAGTGCCAATCACTCTAAGCCATGCATCGGTCTTGAAATTTTACACAGACAATTTTATAATGGGTGCCAATACGATTGAGGATGTACAATGGGCTGTGATGCTAGAGAGCCCCCTTCACACTGGGCCACCATGGTGGTGACACCGGTGGCGACACCATGGTGGCCCAGTGTGAATAGGGTAAGAAAGAATAGGGAAGAATAGGGTGATAGTAAGTAAGAAAGTAAGTATGGTACCAAACGCACATTCCTTTATTTATTAACTTGTTGAATCTACACTCAATGTAAATGCTTAGCAACAGTATATGCCTACATAACATTTTATTATTTATGTATATCTTAATATCACGTCATCAGGTGCATACGATATTACATGATTAACAGATTATTTTAATTTTGATAATTTTGATTTTGGTATTACTTATTATTATGTTTTAAATTTTTTTTACTTTTAAACTTTTTTTAAATGTCCAGATGAACAAGCTAGAATGCTCACAAATGATGCATTGAAACGTTTGCCAGAACCACCTGCCTCATTACAACCCTCTGAGCGAGGATAATTTAAATGGCAACAGTTCGTGTAGCTTTTCTGTATACTAAATAAAAATCAACGGTTCAGTAACACAAAATTAATCAATTTTAACACTTTGGATTTATATAAGACCTTTGCCTGGGCATATACAATGAATATATGTCATTGACAGAATAATTGGAGAAATTTAAAAACTAACACAAAATGTTCCAATTTTCAAATAGCTCTGGAGCCTAAACGGTTCATCGGAGATAACCACATTAGGGGTATATTTTGTAGCAAATTTTGTGTACTTTAATTTTTATAATATAGACTAATAACGGAAGGTTGATAGTTTCAGAGTTATAAGCTAAATATTACAAAAAATATAATTTTGTCCATATTTTTCTCATTTTTGTCAATGTTGCGTCAAGAATTTTTGTTGGCGGATTCAGCACCCCAAAATACATAAGAAACGGAAAAAATCAAAACTACCCCAAAACTTTCCTGGTAAAAACACAAATTAACTGAATAAGTAACAGATATTTATTTTGATAATAGAGATTCTACTGTTTAAACGAAAAAAGTTTAAGTATGAAAACCATAACAATGGTTCTCAAGAGTTTTAATAACCTTGCTCAAGAGGTGCTATGAAAAGAGTTGTTAATGTACAAAATATATCAACTGAAGCGGCACAGCTGGTATTGTAAACACAACTTTTGTTCTCCTCCGCTGAACACCCATCTGCCATCTCTCTCATTACCAAGATATCTCACCCCCCCCACCCTTCCCCCCCTCACTGCTTCCACTGTTGATCTCACAGGTTCAAGTTTAGTTTCACCTCACTGCCTCGGCAAAAGCTTCACTGATCCCCATTCTTCAGAAGATGTTACCTGATATTAAATCATCTCTATATAAATCCTTCGTGTGGTGTCCTTGATCCTTTGTGATAAAACTTCTTCGCCCTTTTTGTATCATAAATAATTTGTGGCTACATTACTGAGCGTTGAGTTTATGGTGTTTCCAGTGGAGAATGTCACAGATAAGACAGGATTCGAAATTAAAGACTCTGACCACAGCCCAAAAAGAACAACCCCTGGCTAAGTTGGTATAAGTTCTGGTGTCCACCGCTGCGAGCGCCGTGTAGTTACGAATCTCGTGCGCCGCAAATAGAAGTTAAGGTTGAGAAGAAATAACCTGGAAAAATATTAATTCAAAGTGTCAAAATCATATGAATAATATATCTTCCTCACATGGAGGCAGACATTTGCACCAATGAACTAAGGGTGGACAAACAGTTTGGGAGTTCACTCACAGAGTGCAGCAGTTGGCAGACTAGCCAAATACAAAAAATATAGTTGTTCCACTGTGACCCACGCTCTACCAGATGATAAGCAAACGTTTTTTTTTTTATAATTTTTAGTTTATATTAAATATTTTTTTTAATATAAACATACCTAAATATTGTCTTCGGATGGTCTAGGATGATGAATCTATTAGAGAATTTGTATAATCTGAGATGTAAGTTCCAAGAACTAATTAGCCTAAGTTTTTCCAGCAATGTTAGAAGGTGATTACAGCTGATGACTTTTTCACAGATTCATTAGCTGATTTTGTCCTTCCTTCAACAGCTTCTTTATTCAGCTTAATCTCAAAATCTGCAATCAGCGTTTTGCATCAACTAAATACCTTAAGGTTGAGAGAACTTTTTGAAATCACGAAAACTATAATATATATATGAAAAAATTAGGAATGTAATTTTGAAGGAGTTGGACATAATTTAGTAGGTCAAGTCTTTGATGAGTATTAATTATTGATTCAAAACTTGTTTTAGTTTTTATGTAAAATGATCACAAACAAGAACTATAATGAAAGCAATGGATTCCAAACCAATTTTGTTTAAACTGTTCATAACGAGATATGTTTACATTACCAACAAATAAATCTGAGGCTAAGCTTCCCAAAATTCTTGTGGGAGGTCACGTTTGTTATAACGTTTGATTGATATGATGAGGTCTTACCTTAGCAATCCTCTTTGGTCAAGCTAGTTCCCGAGTGATGATGAACCTTCTAGCATTCATCGGGTTTGAAATCGGTTTTGTTGGATCGACAATATTAGGATTGCTGAGGTTAGACCTCATCATATCAATTTTATATAAACAATCCAGAGGCTAAAATGATTGATAATGTTTGAGGTTAACCTTTTAGCTAATTTCCCTATAGGGGTAGCTACTACCGTAGGTGGCACGGTAAGACCTAGGCCCAGGACCGATTTACTTTAGGATTTTAGACAAAAATCCGGTTTTGATTTAACATTGTATGTTATAGTCCTTACAGCTGTGATAGTTTTTTTCATTTTTTAGAAATTTTTATTTTTAATGGGGATTTTCCCATAAAACCCCATAAAATAACGGAAAAATAGGATTTTCCCAAAAATGGCCTGAACAATTTTGATAAAAATTTAGTATATTATAGTCCTTTATATTCTGAAGAAAATTGTACAAATCCCATTTCTGTAAAAATTACGATTTAAAAGTTATTGTAAATTATGTTATTTTCCCATAAAAACCCCATAAAAATAACGGAAAATCAGATTTTTCCAAAATTGGCTCTAACGATTTTGATAAAAATTTAGTATGTTATAGTCCTTTAAATTCTGAAGAAAATTGTACAAATCCCATCTCCGTATATTTACTCTCACCGCTTACTTACGATAAAGGTTGTTGACAAGCTTATGGGAGAAAGTATGTGTCAGAATGCTGATACCGTTTATTTTAAATTTATGTTTAAGATTTAAATAAATCCAAACCCAGCCCAGATAATCTGTTTGAGTCTAACAGCTGATTGTTTGTTACAGATGTCGAAAAACACATCCCGGACCAGTAATACATCTCAGTGATAACCCCTTAGATCCAAGCAAAGTGAGTATTACATACTTTTACAAAGTATTAAATAAAGTATCAAAAGTATTACATACTGATTGGTTAAACAACTTACTCTGGATTCTGAAGTAGATATACATGTCATCAGTTGTGATTTTTTTAACCTAAAATAGTTAAATGAGCTGCTCAGAGAATTTATTTCTTTTACCGTTTCATCTATCTGAAATTTGCTATAATTTATCATAATTTGATTTGTTGCTATAATTGCTATCATTTGAGGTTACCTATTCATTTTGAGGCATGATTATAAAGTTGGCGACAAAGTAGAAAACGCTATCTAACATCAGGGCTAGAGATATAGCATTCATTAAGTTCAAAACTTTGTTTTTTTTTTCATTCTGTTTTCTTGAGTATTTTATTTAAAACTTAAAAGTTATTGTAAAAATTTTAAAAATTTGTACTATGTAGAAAATGTTGTGTAATAAAATCATTCATTCATTCATTCACTTTATCTGTGACCCAATTGATCTAAATCTGCAGTCAAAGATAAAAAATTACTAAAATCTGCCATTTTCTTTTAGATATTTAATAAATAATGTATACACTCTTGCATATAGTATTTATTCTCAGTACATTAAATGGTTCCCTACATTTTGTGTACTACATGAGATATAATATGACCGAAAAAGTTTGATCATCCAAACAGTACATCAATGTTGAACCAGAAACTACTTTTAGCGATAATTGTCATCCTTTACATTGCCACATGTTATATTGATGGTTGAGGAAGACATTGTATGAGAATCATCACTCATATCTACAACTGCTGTATGAATATATCTGCGTCACTCCCTTTTATATGCTGACTCATTTTTCTCTGAAATATCAACCATAACTCAATTTTCTGACTACAATGGAGTAAATTTAAGTTGGTTTAGGAAGAGAATTTAATCGCCAAGTGATTCTGTGTGGTAAAAAGAAAACTTACAGCGACCCTTTTTGAATTCTATTCCCAAAATTGACGTTAAAAATATTGTGAATACCTGCTTTTCTTAGAATCCATGTAAAAACATTTGTTTATGTTTGTAAATTATATTTTTTAATAGTATGCTAAAATATCTATGTATAAAGCTAATATTAAGTATCAACAAACTTTTGGGAAAACCGTAAGTTGCATACCTATCAACCTCATACTTGAATGAAAGTTCTTGAGTCCTTGGAGCCTAGACGTTATAACTCGTAAAACAATTAAAAAACTACAAATAAAATTAATAACCCCACAGTATACTATATATTTAAATTACAATCACTCTGGTATTTAAAAATTATTTTGATATGGTAAATAACTCTTCAGTGGCTGTTTAAAATTAACAAAATTAACAGTGCTCTTTTGGTGGGCAATTCCGAGTTGGCTGTTAGCTTTCATGGACTCCCTTGGAGAACAATACAAAACCACCAAGAACATTTTTCTAATCTCACAGTGTACTAGATATTTAAATTATAATCACTTTGGTGTTCAAACAAATATTTTTGGACGATAAATAACTCTTAAGCAACTGTTTGGAATCATCCAAGATGACTAGTGTCCAAGGAGTCTTAATGTGAAACTTCCCTTAAAAAACATATTTTTTTTAGAAACCCTCTCCTAAGAGCACGAACCTCAGCTAAAGGGCTGTATTTAATCACATTAAAAATATTGAAGACACATCAGCTGAGAAATTTGTTTTATTTAGAGTTTGTTTGTTTACTTTTTCCTAGAGTTAATATTTTGATACTCATCGAAGAAATTTGTGATAAAGTTATTAGTTTTGATTCTGTTATTAGTTCAGTTTAATGCAAATAACAAGAGATTTTCGTTTAAATCAGCAATAAGAACTATTTTGATTAGCCGGTAATATTTTCATGGTAAGTAAACTGTTTTCTTACAGTACCAGAGACCAACATTATTCTCTTACCCCGTTGCGAACCACTGGCAGAACTAGTTTACAAGTGTAAAAGACAACAGATTAATTGTCAGTAATTGTATTTTGATGTAATGCTTGTAGCATAATTTTGTGTTTATAAATATCATTTGTTAACTTTTCATCTTCTGTGAAGAAAAGTTCTAGTTAACTGTAGGTCGTAGGTTTCCTCTTTAGCCTGTTGGTAGGTTCTGTATTTGAGGTGCAAAGAAAATTACTCGAGCGATTCTTTCTAGGATGGTTTCCTTTTGGACGCTCAGGTAATTATTAGCAGGGCTGAATGGGTCGTATTTAGGTTGTGGTATTATAAATAGGCTGCACTTTACTTGACGTCCTACACTCATTCGAATGAAAATATCGATCGATATATCGATGAATCGATTGCTTCATTCGATATATCGTTTGGTTAGTTAGGTAAGGTTAACCTAACCTAACTAACCAAACGATATATCGAATGAAACAATCGAATGAAAATATTGAATCGAAAAAACAATCGAATGAGTGTAGGACGTCAAGTAAAGTGGCTGCACTTTACTTGACGTCCTACACTCATTCGAATGAAAATATCGATCGATATATCGATGAATCGATTGCTTATTATTATTATTATTTCTTGGACACAGTGACTGACACACATCTAGGTGCATATTTTGACCTAAATATGAATGTAATGTTATTAAATATGAATGCAATATGAAATCAGGTGAGTTAGAAATTAAATGACCTGTGCAGCTTTGTTACTTTCTAACATCAGCTGTTTATCTAACCAGGGCCGATTATTAAAAGACCAATGATCAAGTACAGCTGGGCCCAGTTTCAAACTATCAAAATGCTTATGGAAATTTTCATGATTAAATTGCAGGCTGTTGTGTAGGTCCTCTGTTTTGTAGCTAGAGGCACAACAGATTGCTTTGCAAATGTATAGTGATGATTTTTCTCCTCACTGAGTTATCAAATGATTTTCTAGAAACAGTTTGGCTTCTTATTATTTCAATTAGTATTTTCTTCAAGCTGTAGTTGAAGTTTCCTCCATAAGATGCTTTAAATGTAAATCGGCACGTCTAAACACTACATTTGAACAACATCTTAAGTATGAAAATATATTATGTTACAGAATAAATGAATAAATACATTTTTCCACTTTTTAGTGAATTTCCCATAAAGGGAATAAGCTATTACCACAGGTCTCATGGTAAGACCTAGACACGGGACCAATTTACTTTTTCGTTTTAAGGTCCCCAGAGGCCAAAAACACTATCCGTTCAAATTCATATGTGTGTCCGTTAGCGCGATAACTCAAGCAAAAATTATCCGATTTTGATGAAATTTGGTATAAACGTGTAAACCTACATTCATTCAAACGATTTCGTGAACCAGCATGGTCGGACTATGGGAACAAGGGTTTATGGGGTAAAAATTGTAAACCTACATTTTATTCAAACGTGTTTGGGAACAAGCATAATCGGACTATGGGAACGGGGTTTATAGGGGGTTTTATGAGGTAAAAATAGGTTTTTCTTTTTTTTTTGACCCTAAAACATAAAATTTCATAATTTCTTTCCAAACTATTTTGGAGAGTTTAAAAATTAATAGTTATGTATATTGAAGTGTTCTTGTATGCCCAACAGTTATGGAGATAGCCTAATTTAAAAAAATGTAAATTTAAAATTCCTATGGAGAAAATATACTGTTGTGGTTTGCCTGTTTATGAATATATTTCAACCAAATTTGGAAATTTTGTTTATTTAATATTAAGCTATCAACATTTGCAATAAAAAAAACACATCTCAATATCTTCCCTGTAGCAGCAAACCTAAGTACTCACCAAAATTAATGTTGATTAAATAGGAATTAAATCTGAAAATTTGTAGGGAATATTTTAGTAGAAATCCAGCCAGGTAAATGGAAATTTGCGTAGTCTGCAGTGTTGCTGCAGCGAGGGTATTATATTCAATTCAATTAGCATTTGGTTTACATTTTACGTCTTATGTACCTTCAACCTAGCAAATATCCCTTTAAAATTATTTCTCAAGGAACGTAAAGTAGGATGAATAAATGATCGGCATTTTCGTGACAAACGAGCGAACGGAAACTGACATGGATATATTCAAGCGACCAGAGCTTTTGAAACTGAAAGATGCCACTCTCTCTATAATATTTTGCAGTGAGATTAAGGCTATTATATAAATTACAATTATTCGTTCAATTTATTTAGGGATTTTTATTTGGATCTGGTGAGATCAATAATTAACTTGCAGTTATTTATGTTTAGTTAAAATATGAAATATGATTGTTACTATGATTATTTGGATGTAAATCCTTGTCACTAAGTGATTGATGTGTTGTGTTAGCTGCAACCAAAACAATGTCATAAATTGGTTAGTTAAAACCAGTGTTTCTTCTATCTGGTAATGTCAAACCACCTTCACCTACTTTCATTATGATCCATGATAATCAAATTTAAAATTAAAAAGTTGTTAACACTTTTTAGCGAATTTCCCATATAGGGGAAGCTATTACCGTAGGTCTCATGGCAAGACCTAGACCCGGACCGATTTACTTTTTCGTTTTGAGGTCCCCAGAGGCCAAAAACACCATCCGTTCAAATTCATATATATATATCTATTTATATATGTGTCCGTTAGCGCTATAACTCGAGCAAAAATTATCCGATTTTGATGAAATTTGGTACAAACGTGTAAACCTAAGTGTATTCGAACGAGTTCGCGAACCAGCATAATCGGACCATGGGAACAGGGGTTTATGGGGGGTTTTATGGGGTAAAAATGGGGTTTTCCCATTTTTTACCCTAAAAACAAAAAGAATTGTATTTTCTTTCTCAACCATTTTGTAGAGCTTAAAAAAAGAAATAATTTAGTATATTGAAGCGTTGTTGTATGCCTAACGGTCACGGGGAAAATTCAAAAAAAGTTTAATTTAAAATTCCCATGTTGTTCTTATTGAGAAAATGAAAAATGTTGTAATTTACTTGTTTATGGATATAATGTTGATCAAATTTGGCAAATTTATTTATTTCATCCTATACTATTGACATATTGTCAAAAAACACTTTTTACC